CTTGAACTAATGCTTTGTACGTACACAACATAGAGCCTTTACCTTGTCACATACCTCCTGCTTTCTCTGACGCCGCTAAAAATTAGCGGCAAAGTGTCTCATGCACCATCTATGCACTAGAGGCGAGAACCCATCTATATGCTCAGCTGCAACATTAAGAAGCCCTGGGTGATGATCCGAGATCAAACATATAGTGCGAGATGGGCCAAGCACTTATACACGTAGAAGCCGCATGAACCATGACCACGATTCATTGTTCTCTCCCTTTGCCAAAGCAAAAGCCATAAGTACTATCTGGTCCTCAGGATCAACAACAACAGCCATCATCAAGGTGCCCCTATACTTCTTGTCAAGAAAGTGCCATCAACAAGTACGACTGGCCGACAAAACTAGAATGCATGTTCTGTTTGTGCGAACGACCAGAACACACGATAGAGGACATGCCTCAACGGGTCCCGAAAATACATCCCTCCGGTGTCCACAAACTATTTCAAGCTAGGGTTATAGTAATGCATTGCACATAAGATGCGAGGCACCCTATTGTACGCTTCCTCCCAACTACCCCATCGAATCGCCAGGGCAATTTGCTTAGTACGCCAAGCCTTTCCGTACTTCACATCATACTTAACGAATCCAGATATGGACCGTTGTAAAGAAGACACCGAAATGTTGTTATTGTCATCAACAAGCCCCAATATACAACGGGCAAGATAACGTGTAGTGAGCTGCTGATGATTTTCCTTCCCCCTATTTGTTAGGCAAGTGTGAGGTTCGACAACTTTACTTATCCTCCACTTGCCATCACTCTGTCTCTTTCATGCATTTAACATCCACATACAACCATTTTTGCATATCACGTGGTACCTCAACTCCTGGTCTGAATGAGTGACGTTGTACGGCCTATGGTGATACATAGCATAGTACTAAAGGAAGAGCTTCATCTCTGACATTGTATTGAATATCATCCCCTTCCTAAGGGTTTCTTTCTCATGGTCATAGAATGATTTCCTACACATCTGGAGATCGGTGTCACAAACTGCCATATCCATCATGCTGACATTCCTATAGTTCAAAACGCCCCTGAAAGGTACGTTCATCGACCTTAGTTGCTCAAGCTCAGTCGCTATGTAAGGTGGTGGTGGATCATACTGCTGTGCTTCACTAATTCTGCACCATGAATCATAGGGGGTATCATCTGCTGGCAAATCTATGACTAGTCTACCCTGAGCCTGGATAGCATGCAAAACCTCAGTAGGTACTGGTAATGGCATACCATGAACAGGTACTGCATGGCATCAACCGGTGTGGGCATAGCATGTCTATCTCCCTGGTCACCATCTGAATCGTCCGAATCACTGCTAACTGCATCACCGATCCTGTCCTCCTCCTCCTGTTCCTCTTCTAGTTTGAACTTATTCACATCGAAATCATTGCTTATACAGCTTACTTGATTTGAATGAAACTGCTCTTGCGTCAACTGACCGTCCAAATTCATGTTACCCTGAGCTGCTTCCCCTTCGACCTCTAATTCTTGCTCATTGCCTCCAACACCGTCAATGCACTTTCCGTCCAGAACACCCTGCAATCTGTACCCATTCTCCACCACCACCTCAGCCTTGGACACATTGGAACCTTCGAGCACCCTAGTGTAGCGGGACCAGTGAGCAGTGTTGCGCAAGGGTATGAGGACATAGTGTGCCCTAGTCTTCCCAGTATCAAACCTCCACTTTAGTATGAAATCACCGCCAAGCTTTGTATTCAAACGGATACAAAGGTCATTGAAGCTAGGAGGTTCATCAAACCATTCCAATTCTTCTTCCATATCCTCAAACATACCATCTTCTCTTCTAACACTTCCTCCATAAAAAACTCTAACACAACAATCCATCTACAAAAGCATTTCAATACACTTCATCAAATCGTCGAAATTGTCGTGCGTAATGTCCATAATAATATTAATATCTATTCTAACTATAACTATACTAACTAATCTAATATTAATATCTATACAAGGCTAACTATAACAACTAATTATACTAAATACAATGTATAACTAGACTCACTAACTGTACTAACTAAACTAACTAACTTTACTATCTATACTAACTTACTATATTGCCTATACTAACTAAACTAACTAACTTTACTAACAATGTCGATTCAATCAATAAATACACTAGGGGAGTACCTCGCGGTGGCGGCGCTCGTCCTCGCGGTGGCGGCGCGCTAGACCGGGCCGAGAGGCGTCGGCGCTGGCCTCGGCGGCGGCGGCGGGTGGACATGGGATAGAGAGAAGGGCGTGCGGCAGTTGGGAGCGGTGTACAGCGCGGCAGTGAGGGCGGCGGCGGCAGTCACGGACGCTGTAGTGAGGGCGGCGACGCAGCGGTGAGGGCGGTGGCGGGCGCGGAGAGCGTCCAGAGGGGGTGGCACGCAGACGTGCAGGCGCAGCGGGCGGCCGACGGCCGTGGCGCGGCGGGCTCATGCGGGCGCGGAGGGAGTGGCCCGCCATCTTGCGTGGCATAGCCGGGGCAGGCGCGGCGGGCAGGCAGGTGGGCGCGAAGGCACGGTGGGCAGGCGGCTAGATGTGGCGGGCGCGGCAGGCAGGCGGCCAGGCGCGGCAGCCGGCAGGCGCGGGCGGGTGTGGCGGCCGCGTGCAAGCAGGCAGGACAGGGCCGCGGGCCTTTAGCCGGCTCTGCCGCGCCATGATGCGTGGCGCGTCACTGCCGCGCTCTGATCAGTGGCGCGGCAGAGCCGGCCACGTCACCGGTCAGGCGCTTGGTCCCTGCCACGGGGGCAAGCTTGCCGCGCCCCATGTATGGCGCGACAGCGTTAATTTGCCGCGCCGTACGAATATACGCGGCCAAAAATGTTAGATTTGAAAAAAAATAAACTGTGTTAGTTTTAAAATTAGTTTAAAAAATATGTTATAAATAAAAAAAAATTCGCACCAGCAGCGGGCAGCCACGCGGCGCAACCCGCCCAAAGATCTGGCCTCGCGAGACGGAAGGGCAAGAAGAGCGGCGGCTGGCGATAAAGATCGGGGGAATTCCTTATGTGCCATTAAAAAAGTTTGTAATGTCCTACGAGCCCCTGGAAAAGTTCAGCGGTCTTCAGCGTTACTGCTCCAATTTTTTTGTGCCCTCTATGTCACTGCCGTCAGTTTGGGCTCTAACGGTGTCAAACTGCAGGAGTAAAAAATCAAAAATACCCTTAAATCTAAATACGTCATTAATTTTTTTTGAGCATCTTAACGACTTCATATAAAAAAACTCAAAACTAGAAAGTTGTAGATCTCGTCGAGATCTATAATTTTTATATAAAAATTATCTTCATTTAATTTCGCAAAAAAATAATTTAATATGATTAATATATCTTAGAAAAATCATATCTTTTTTTTGCGAAATTAAATAAAGATAATTTTTATATAAAAATTATAGATCTCGATGAGATATACAATTTTTTAGTTTTAAGTTTTTTCATATCAAGTCGTTAACATGTTAAAAAAATAATGATATATTTAGACTTAAGAGTATTTTCGACTTTTCACACTTGCAGTTTGACACCGTTAGAGCCCAAACTGACGGCACTGATATGGAGGACCTAAGAAAGTTGAAACAGTGATGCTAAAGAATGCTGAATTTTTGATGAAACTCACGGAGCATTGCGATTTTTTTTTTAAGGACACGCTAGAAATTCCCCCATAAATATCGCGTCGACCGCCCCTCCCTCCGCCCCGTCTCGGCTTCGATTCCGCCCTTCCCTTCCCACACACACCCGCCTTCCCGTCGTCTTGTCCCCAGCTCCATCTGACCTTCTCCCACATTCCCACTCCCGTCTTCGGAGAAGGAAGAGCCGCTCTGGCACCAGCTCCTCGCACCTCCCCTGCCCCGCCTCCCCGTCCCGGTACGTCGTGCCTCCTCGCTTGTCCCTGTTCCTGTTCGCACCTCCCGCTTGCCAAATTCTCGTCTGTTGCTTTGCTTCGTCCCGCCCGCCGGCGAGATTGATTTGTTGGTGCTGCTGGGACTGGGAGTGTGCCTGCGCGTTCGGTTTTACCGCAATGGGGGGATTTTCAGACCGTGTTCTTCTTGGCGACGACGCTCTGACAGCGCTCAGTTTGAATCCTTCTTCTTGTTTTTTCTTTTCTTTCTTTATTAGGAAAGACGATTGAGTCGATGACGCTAGGACATTCCCTACGGTTTGTTCAAAACCCTCGAATCTGGGTCTGCACATTTTTGTTCTTTTCGACAATCCAGTTGGTTCATGTGTGCTCCTGCTTTCCTTCGTTGCCGGAGTCGATTCGGAACCATTGCCATGCTAGCCGGATAGATAGTCTGCAACTCTGCAACCAAAGGGGAGGGGAGGCAAAGGAAGTTTGAATTTTTTCCCCACTGTTCACGTGTGTCGTTAGTTCACGTGGAATGAAAAATAATTGTAGGGTGTATAGGCTGCTTAACTCATGGTGTCTTAATCTACTGGACGTGGAGGATTTAAAATTTTAAATCCAAAATTTGTCAGTGTGTTGGTGCATCCTTGCAGATGCCGTGGATTTGATTTGTTGGGGCATTTGATTTTGGGGTAGACGTGGATTCGTCGCCCTTTTACCCCTGCTGACTGATGAGGACCACGTTAACTTTCGTTGTGTCTTTACGTGGATTGTCGAGAGCTAACCTTTGTTCTTTGTCCCGGGAAAAACGTGAGAGATTCATGCCCGCCAGTATATTCTGTTTTGATCCCATTTATTATTTAGTATAGTTGGGCACGTTGGTCAGTAATTTACTAATTTATGCTACCCTTTTCTGAAGCTTGAATTAAAGCAGTTTTTTTCATTGTTGGTTCCATCTTTTGGGTAAAAAAGAGAAATAAAAGAGGTATTGCAATTTTTACTCTAGCTGTGTCCTGTACAGATAGCAGCATGATAATGCTCCATAAAGATCAAATTGACGAGCATCTGTTCACATTCCAGTTTTTCCTGCAATTTGTGCCTCAGGTCTGGAGCAGATATGGGTGTTTTCGGTCGAACACCTCTTGCAAGCTGCCCAGCGACCCGGCACTGCGCAGAATGGGCCCGAATCTACTTGAAGTACTGCTTGTGCAGCCAGAAGGAAGGTGCTGCCCTGGCACTTGGGCTAATCAGTGTCATAAGCTGGGGCCTAGCCGAGGTGCCACAGATAATAACAAATTACAGACAGAATTCAACAGAAGGACTCTCTGTCGCCTTCCTTATGACCTGGATTGTTGGGTATGCTATTTCAGATGTCTTCTGCTCCTTGCATGCTTACGTCTCAATAATTGTCCTGTACCTCGATGTTAAGCGTGGAACCCTGTATAATTCCATGTTATGCTTCTATGATTATGCAGGGATTTGTTTAATCTTGTTGGCTGCTTCCTCGAACCTGCTACTGTAAGATTCATTACTTGTACTTTTTTCTGAGCCATCTCCAGCAGTAACTTGGCATATGGGTATTGTAGGACATTGACAGTTCTGTATTTGATCTAATGAATAAATGGTTTTGTCTCTGATTGATACCAACTTATCAACGAAAGTAATAGCATTTATTTTGCACAGTGTAATGAGGTGTTATCATTAACAAATATGGATATTATTCCACCTGTTTCTGCCAGCCTGCACTATTCTATGAATGCCTAAACAAGCATTATTAGCTTCTATAGTACATTTGCAATTATTCATAAACCGGCAACGCTATGGCACTGCAGAATATGGACAGTTAGACAGGAGTTGCAATTATATATCTGAAATTAACAAGTCCCCAATAGATCTGTATTAATATTTGTAATGAAGTGGCATCTGTAGAAGATGATTCTTATGGTGCTTGCCATTAAATTGCTCTAGTGTCCATTGATATGTTAACCTTTTTTTCTTCATGAGATTACATGAGAATTTCCTTTTTTTTTCCTGAAATGCCAAATGTAATATTTTCATTTTGTTCATATTGCAGCTGCCAACTCAGTTCTACATGGCGTTGGTAAGGCATTATACCAAGTTTCTCTTGCAGTATTTTGATTCCTGCAGCGTAATGATTGAACTTAGCTTTTGCAATGCAGCTATATACCATCACAACTCTGATTCTTACTGGACAGACGCTATACTATAGCCACATCTACCATCGCCTTAAAGCAAAAAAATCCAGGGAAGCTAGCAAGGTGGTTATTCCTAGTCATGTAGATAATCATTTTGGCATCCTTTTCTTTATGAAAATTGTTCTGGGTATTAGGAAATTGATGTAGCACTCTGTTATCAACTGTGATATGGCAACCATATTTGGCTTGTACTTGTGCATTCATAAATTCTCCCACCCCATAGCTTAGTAATCAGTGTTCTTCATGTGCTCTTTGTTGTCCTGTTGGATTATCCTTGATTTGATATGTGAAGATTTATTCAATTTAGGGGATGTTGACTTGATATTGTCACGAAAGTTCAACTTTTACTGTATTCTAAATATATTATCGCCTCTCTTTTGGGGACACCCGTGGTTTTCAGCCTCACGGTGATGCTTCATTACGCGAAAAGCTTTTGGGAGCCAAGGACGGTGCGGCATCCAGAAACAATGAGTCAGATGCTGCAATCCTTATTCCAAGCTCACCTATTCCTGTTAATACGAAATATGTCGACCAATACCATGGAAGCAGCCCCAGTACCGACTACTACTACATGTAATGTTCTTGAGCTGCTTAATGTTTCCCCATATTTCTTTCCTTTATAAAAGCTATTGTCCACCATCTATTCGAACACATGTTAGATGTTATGTATTTTTTCTTTATTTGTAGGGACCTGACAAGTTAAGAAGTATGCTCTTAAGTTGCTACTTATTTAACTAATGGATGGCTCTGCTTTCACTACTATGTAATATATGCAAACAAATAGTCAAATACAGGTTCAGGAAATTTTAAGTTTGTAGTTGATTGTACAGGTCGGCAAGATCCTTGTCCAGTAGTCCAGTGCCAACTGCTGGTACATGGTTGGGCAGTAATCGTCAATCATCAAGAACTCCTTCACAAACAAATGATCAAAGGGGAGCTTTAGTTGGTGAGATCGCTCCAGCACATTCTGCACCATCTACTGTCACAAAAAATGCCCTCTCAGTGGTAAGTTAACTGCAATCAACTTGCTATGTTATGTCCTGAGGTTTGGAACTAAATAAGTGTTTATTAATGTTTCAGGCACCATGGATGGTTCTTCTATTGGGTATGTGTCTCTTGCACATTTTGGTTGGAAACACACATAAGGAAATGCCAAGTGGAACTGTCATACCAGTTGGAAGAAGGCTTTTACTGTTTGTGGTAAGCTTACAGTTGCTCTCCAGTTTTCAGACCTGTGCGCTGAGTTGATGACACAGAACATGGCTTCTAGATCAATTCGCATGAATTAAATTATTATCCGGTATAAATTTTACTGTAACTTCAATGGTGATTAACATCATCTTAATTTATTTGTTTTTGTTCAATAGGATGATCATGGAAATTCATCTCTCAGCCATGGCAGTGGAAGTGAAATTGGAAGCTTTCTTGGTTGGGCTATGGCAATAATTTATATGGGTGGGCGGCTTCCCCAGATTTTGTTAAATGTGAGATTTCGCAAACAATCAAACATTTACTTTTCGTGACTTCTCTTACAGGAAATACATTTTCCATACTACAATACTGGGTTACCACATAGCAGCAATAATCTTAGTACCAGGACATCATAACCAGTCAATTCGTATTTGTACCATACATCTCAATGAAAAGTTTTTCCATTACTTATATATAGCTGTTTTAGTTAAGAGATTCTCTATATATAAATAATAACATAATACCTCAGAGTATGTTCTGACTTCTGAACTTTCTTTACTACCCTGCAGATGCAAAGAGGCCACGCTGAGGCAAGTCTACATTCATCTCCATATATATTCTCTGATTTGTTTTTACAAACACCTCCATTTTATTTCTTATTTGTTTGTATTCACTATTTAATAAAAGTAATTAAATAGGCAGTTTTTAACAAAGAGCATACAAATTCATTCAGAAAAAGTTTAGCTGAAAAAGTGAACAGCAAAAGAAAATCAGTCATTCTAAAGTAGTTACATTTACCTCGAGGCCTGTTGGCATTTTGGTTTCCAGTTCATAGAAGATTGATGTTCACTCAGCGTCTTAGATTGAGTCAAGATCAGAAGTCTCTCACGTTTTACTGATATCACCTAAGAGTGAACTGTACTAATAGCCACCTACTTCACCTACCATTTGAATAAGACCTAATTTTCTGAACATTTTGTTTCTGTCAAATATCCAATTGTATCTGCTATCTTCCGTTTGGAATGTTTTTCGCTGTTACATGGCTAACTAATGTGATTTATAATTTTACTCAGGGGCTGAATCCATTAATGTTTACCTTTGCTTTAGTGGGAAATTCAACATACGTAGGAAGGTAATCCATGAACCCATGTTCCATAGGTTCAATTTTTTTCCAGTAGTATCTTTCCAAGCTACACGGTGCAATTTCTATAAAATAATTTTCTTAACTTAGTTGCATCTGTTATCTTTTTAGAAAAAGAGTTGTATGCCATTCTGTCAAAGTGATTTTGTGAGACATTAGCTTATCTTATTGTGTTATGTAGTTTGCACAAGTTATCACTGTTGTCACATGTCATTTGAATTTTAATCTCGAGTGAATAAGCACGTCAGCTTCTCTTGTTGTGTAATCTTGAAACCTAGTGCGTACATTATTGCTCTCTCATTCCTTCTTTTTCAATGCAGTATACTTGTAAATAGCATGGACTGGTCGAAACTTAGACCAAATCTCCCGTGGCTTGTAGACGCTGGAGGATGTGTTTTGCTGGATTCTTTTGTATCCTTTACACCTCTTCTACTTTGAGCACAATAAGTTTCTACTTTCTAATATATTTGTCTTGAGTATAAATAAAACAAATGTTTGAGAAGAATATTAGTTACAGAAAAGGACAGGCCCTTAGGTGAGTACTGAGTACACAGTAACCAATCCCTGATTCCTTTTGGTTGAGGTCAATCCATGTAAGGCACGTTTTGTTTCAGAAAAGTTAGATATTACAAACTTTGACCAATAATTAGTCAAATCACATGCATAGTTACAGCATTAGTTGATTCATATTCAAATCACATTTAAGATGCCGCCGATTTCCTACCAGGGTTCGATCTCTGGTGCTGCATGGTTGTGTTCCGCCTCCCTGGTTGAAACAGGGAAGATGGTTCTGCGGCTGCCAAAGAAGTGCCTGTTCCCGGGCTTGGTGGGCCCGCCCCTTCTTTAAGACTAAAGTCAAGGGGACGTCTCTCCCCTTGATCAAGATTTTTAGATGTCATTGATTTTGTGGCAATTGATAACAAAATGTAAGAGAAACCATATCTTTAAATGCTTCCTTATTTTAAAATACACACTAAATTGATGGACGAAGTGAGTATCACTGATACAGAATAAATAGTCATTTTCGTCTGCACACGAAAATGGACTGTCATGCTGGCAACGCACATGTTGGTTTTATGTGAACCTGTTAGCCTATATGCTCCACTGCATAAAATATTTGGAATAGTTGTATTGCTAATTTACCATTACTGGACAACCCCTTAACCATGTTGCATAGATTATTCTTCAGTTTCTTTATTTCCATTATCGGAAGCAAAGGGAGCTTTCGGATGAGCACGACGATGCTGATAAAGCTTAACTGATAGAGATTGTTTCTTCTTCGGTCCAAAGGTGTGGTTCTCGTATTATGAACATTTATTATGCTACATTGTAGAGTTCTTGCTTGATGGGAATCCTTTATGTACAGAATTGGCAGTCTGAGTATATGCATATTCAGCCGCTCATTCTGTTCTATTGTATACGTGCCTATACAGAAGTGAAGCTGAAATGGGTACCTCGTACAACGGGCTCTGGGTAGCAGCGTCATTGTTACCTGAAGGCCACCACTCGCACCCAGGACAGATTTGGAGCGTCGTTTCATTGGTTGCTGCTTGGAGGGTAGCTCTCACGGCGTCATGTCTTGTGGAGAGGCTTGTGTACTTATTTGTTTTGTAGTATCAAAATGTGTTGTGTTATATTTCTCCCTTCCTGATCTTTTGTGCTTCAGAAACTTGCACGAGAAATGTACATTCGTCAGGTAAAATTGTTTCTTCTCGTTTTAATTTCGAATGAGTTTGCCTGCTGGTACCTTTATTTTGACCGCTTGCAGAGGTTCATGTTGACGCTTGCCAAACCACGGTTCCTTAAGACGTTTAGTACTGGAGCAGCTTGATTTGTAGGCTGCGACCTGCGAGTTCATCGACATTGGCATCGTTTTGTTGCTCCCCAGTAGAAAGCATTTGCATCCACAACGTCATAAGGAGCAGTACATTGTTTCATGTGAGGCTGGCGTTTATAAGTTCTCTAAATGATGTAATGGTTTCTCTAACTCGAATGTTTATACCTCAAACAAACTTAAAATTCAAATGACGTGGTGCTTATTATCTCTTTAGGTCTTTTGGAATACAAGAATTTTATAGCGAAAACATGATCCAGAAAAAAAATCTACATTTTAAAGAGGCACTTCAGTAATAACACTAGCAAATATGTTCACGAGTTGAACGGAATTTACATTTTGCATCGTTTGTTCAAATATATTTTATAATTTGACTCCGTACTATGGTTGAACGTAAACTATTTTAGCTCATATAATTATGTGAGTGATTTCGGATCTAGGATAATAACATTAGAACTATAATTTATAATTTATGATGTACTCTTAGTAAAATCGGTTAGAGTTCTTACGCTTCGAAGAGTAGAGGGACACCTAAACAGAAAAAGAATACGATGGTCGAAATTTGGATGAATAAATTTTCATTCCTTGGTATTATTTATAGAGATGTACGGAAACCACCTGATGTGTGGGTGAGCAACATTTCCATCTATAATTACTATTAGAACAGGAAAAATGTTCAATAGCTATCATAAAGTCCAATCCCCCCCCTATAAAACAAGATGTTTAACCTAGTTTAACTTTTAAAAACATTTTACATCCTAGACAGTTTTGAAACAGTTTTATTTTCATCACGGACAGTTTAGATGATAGTTTTAGCCTATATGGTAGCCCTTGTAATGGGTCAAGATCCTATCCTAATCCCACTCCGGCTCTAATATTTTGAGGAATGATTCTGTCGGGTATCGATATTAGGGATATCCAAAGCAAGGAAGTTAGCGCCCCCCTCCCCGCTAACTTCCCCGGATGGAGCAAGACGTATTAAAGGGTCTCGCCCGACCCCTTGGGTGCGGGCTCCGTCTCGCCTGACCCAAGGACGTGGTTTCCGTCTCGCTCGACCTCGAGGCCGCGGGGGTCTCGCCCAAGGCCACAGGCTCTGTCTCGCCCGACCCCAAGGCCGCGGGCTCCGTATCGCCCGACCCCGAGGCCGCGGGCACCGTCTCGCCCAAGGCCACGGGCTCCGTCTCGCCCGACCCCAAGGCCACAGGCTCCGTATCGCCTGACCCCTTGGGTTCGTGCTCCGTCTCGCCCGACCCCAAGGCCGCGGGCTCCGTCTCGCCCGACCCCGAGGCCGCGGGCCCCGCCTTGCCCGACCCCAAGGCCGCGGGCTCCGCCTCGCCCAACCCCAAGGCCGCGGGGGTCTCGCCCAAGGCTGCGGGCTCCGCCTCGCTCGACGGGGACGCATACCGCTGCCAACCACTTTAGGTCCAAGCGTATGGGCCTGGGTCAAAACTCTGACACCAGGGAAGAGACTGGCATGACTTGATATAACCCGTGGCCATGACGGGCCATACTCAAGGATTCATATCAAGAACAGTGTCGGGCGTGCCGGTGCTGTTCTGCCTAACCCTCGTACGAACGCTGACAGGCGCGTCAGTTCACCACGACGTCCATTGGGACAGAATGGAACGCCATGACCGGAGGATGACGCCCACGCATGGCGCCAGTGATGGACAGGGCCGCGATGTGGAGCCGTCCTTGTTGACGTCTATAGGATCGGTGGGACGTGTATGAAGGAGAAGTACCCAGCGACCCTAGAAGCCTTCCTCTCTCTCGTTCTTCTCTTTTTCCTCCGTTGTAACCCGCGTTTTCCCTTAGCCTATAAAAGGGAAAGCAGGGCGCCACATAAAGGGGATCGATCCAGATCCGCACAGAGCCGAACCATGAGATAAAAACACAAGAGCACTACACGAACACACGGCTGAGCAGCAATCGAGCTCTCAGCACCCGTTCACTCCTTCTACCAGAGACTTGGGATCCTTTCCCTCTCTCGCCTGTTTGTAACCCCTACTGCAAACCAAGTGCCGGTAACACGAGCAGCAACAAACTGGATGTAGGAACGTTCTGCCTGAACTAGTATAAACCCTTGTGTTCTCCGAACACCATCCGAGCCAGACGCACAAATACAAATTTACTCTTCGGTGGTCCAAAAACACCGACAGTTGGCGTCTCGACATCCACATCAAGCCTCGGATGGCTAGTCACGGCGTCAGCTGGGTCCCAGGCGTGCACGTGCGCTTCGAGAACCTGGACTTCATCATCACAACGGAGGGAGAATTGGTGCAGGCTCCCGTAGCCGTCCAACCTCTCCACTCCACTAGCCTCGACGCGATCGCCGAGGCGCTTGAGGAGCTGCAGCTGCACACATCGGAGGCCCGCGCCCTCAGGAGCGACCAGCTCCTCGGCTTCGATTACGGGAGGTTAGAGCGCCAGCTCGGCGCCTTCCTGGGACCCCGACCGTCCCGGGAGGACTTGAGCCACCTCACCTTCTCGTTCACCAACGTCATGACACAGCTTGCCGGAGGAGAGCCGCTCTCCCCGGAATACCTCATTCGGAGCACCTCGACAACGCTCCTGTTCGGTCTGCGCAACGTCGCAGAGACTGTTGGCCACCTTGCGGCTAATGCACGCCCTCATCCCCAACGAACGACGAGTTCATGGGGATGACCGAATATATCACGGAATCTTTCCACGACCTCCTCGCGGTAGAATAAGAGTCGCCCTCCAACTCTGGCTCCAGTGGGGGGAGCCATCACCCCTCACGTGAATGTTTCATGGCAGGTACCCCCGAGGGATACGTTGAAAGCATCCACGAGGGAGAGGCTACCCCAACAAATGACCTCGACGACGAGGTCGAGGGGGATGCAGGGGCCCCACCTCGCCTGCGGGTAGAGCAGTTGAAGGCCCGTCACTAAGAGCTCGAGGAAGCACGACTCCAGCTCGAGCAAGAACACGCAGAGCTCGAGCGAGAGATCGAGCGCCACGGAGACGGTGGGCGTGCGCGCGCCGTGGCCCACGACGCGAACCGAAGGATCATCGAGGACGAAGAAGCCCTCCCACACTTCACTCGGGCAAGCCAGAACATCGCTGCTATGGCGCCCTTGCTCTGGGGGCTTCCGAGGCCTGCGACGCCCGAGGATCATTGGGCCCATCGTGAGATTCGCACGTTACTCAAGCGTGCGGAGGCATAGCAGACCGAGAGCTCGCTATCCCGATGACGCGAGCTCAACGCCAGCCAGTGCACGCCCTCGGAGCGACCCGACAAGGATGTTTCAGTCCACCAGGCGTAGCAAGGTGGCAGGCCGCGCACTACAGTCCCGGTGCATGAGCGTCTCAGCCTCCACCGTGACGCGCATGACACCCTCGACGCCTGCAGGCATACCCGTGGAGATGCGAGGGAGGAGGCTAGCCACGGCTACCACCCTCGTCGTGGTGGACGCTACGACAGCGGCGAGGACCGAAGCCCGAGCCCCGACTTGTCGGGACCTCAGGCCTTTGGCCGACACATCCTCAACGTCGTCTTTCCACCGCAGTACCGACCGCCGACCAACATCCCGAAATACTCTGGGGGAACGAACCCCGGACTATGGCTCGAGGATTATTGGCTTGCTTGCCAAGCCGGTGGAGCGGATAATGATGATTTCATTATCCGCAACCTTCCATTGTTCCTGGCCGATTCAGCGCGAATATGGTTGGAACACCTTCTGCCCAACTGAATCCAAAGTTGGGCGGACCTAAAAGAGATCTTCATGGAAAACTTCCAGGGCACATACGCACGTCCTGGAAACCCATGGGATCTAAAAAACTGCCGACAGAAGTTCGGGGAAACTCTTCGTGGATACATCCGACGCTTCTCCCGACAGTGCAACGAGCTGCCCAATGTCGCCGACGCTGACGTCATAGGAGCTTTCCTATCTAGGACCACCTGCGAGTCCTTGGTTCACAAGCTGGGATGTAAGGGCCCGTGAACCACCAAGGAGCTCCTCAACATCGCCACCAGTCACGCCTCGGGCGAGGAGGCGGTCGGGGTGATTTTCGATCGCCTCAAAGGCAAGGTGAAGCGGGACGAGGACACCGGTGAAGGTGCCTCCAACCGTCCCAACAAGAAGAAGAACAAGCAGCGACACAAGGTCTCGCTCGTGGCCACCGCCGACCGCAAGGGGGGTCGGAATCCCGCCGAGGGTACCCTAGACCACTTCGAGAAGCGGCTGGAAGGGCCATGCTCGAACCATGCTTTCCCCATCAAGCACCTATACAAGGACTACGTCCTCATGAAGCGGTTCTTGTCCGGAGGCTCCAACAAAGGGGACCATAGGAAGGATCCCAAGCCGGCCGCAGACGATGCCGAGGCGAAGGACAATGGATTTTTGATGCTGGATGGCTGCCTCATGATCTTCGGAGGGTCGGCGGCCTACGACTCCAATCATCGCCAGAAGCTTGCGCACCGTGAGGTCTATACGGCCGAGCCGGCCGCACCTACCTTCCTCCGATGGTCTGAGTCCGCCATAACCTTTGATCGGACCGACCACCCGCAAAGCGTCCCATAGCCAAAAAGATATTCGCTTGTGGTTGACCGGATCATCGGCACGAAGCAGCTCACCAAGGTGCTGATGGATGGAGGCAGCGGCCTCAACATCATGTACGCTGAAACACTCGACACCATGGGCATCGACAGAGCACGCATCTAGCCAACTGGGGCACCTTTCCACGGCGTCGTGCCAGGAAAGCAGGCCATGCCTCTTGAGCAGATTGATCTGCCCGTCACCTTTGCGGATCCGTCCAATTATAGGACGGAGACCCTTACCTTTGAGGTGGTCGGGTTCCACGGAACCTACCACGCCATCCTGGGACATCCATGCTATGCAAAGTTCATGGCCGTCCCCAAGTACACCTATCTAAAATTGAAGATGCCAGGTCCACGTGGGGCCATCACCATCGGCACCTCCTTCCAGCGTGCCTACGAGTGCGAGGTCGAGAGCTGCGAACACGCCATGGCAATT